GGGGGGGGGGGGGGGGCAGGTGGAGATGGCAGAGCCTGTGCGTGTGTGTGCATGTGCGTGTGGGGAGTCTTGCCTGGCTCAGGCAGGCCAGGCAAGGTGCCAGCTGGGGAACCCAGAGTGGGTAGGGGTGGATGAATGGACCGTGGTTTGCCTCAGGGGCCCCTCTGCCTAGCGGGGAGCCATTGTTGTCCCAGCACCCCCTTCTCCCCCAGTGCTGGGCTGTGTCGCCATTCCCACTGCCTCAGGGGGGCCAGCACATGGGGGAGGTGGAGGGGGCTCCTAGGCCCTGGTGTCAGCCTTCTGGGGCCTCTTGGCCTCCCAGGCCATGAGAAGAGCCCAGCGCGCCCGGTAAAGCAATCCTCTCTTACCCGGCTGCCGGCTTGGGCTGGTTTCATGTAACGGGGCGGGGGCGGGAGGGATTAGCCGAGGCCGCCGTGTGTCTGGGGTTTTCACCATGCCCCGGAGCTCCCCGGCAGCTGCCCGTCCGCGTCTCAATAGCATTAGCGCTCGCCGGATGATGAACGCCTTGTCACAGCTGCAATTTTCTCTTCCCGAATTATCCCTGCATTTTTCTCCTCTCCACTTTATTGAATTTGCAGAGCAGACATGAGTGATTTCCGAATTATTCTGGCTCCCCTCGCCCGCTCCCCTCCCCCGCCGCGCCAGGCGCTGACCTGGCGTGAGTGATTATGTGTCTGGCATAATCGCCTGGTAATGACTCCATTCCTTTTTTTAAAGAAAAGTGTTGTGCGGCTTATGGCTCGGCTTGACATTTGTCAGCGTGGTTGAGCGCACAGGCCTGCGGAGGCCGGCGCACGTCAGGTTGCCCGGGCCCTTCCCCCACCCCCAGCCCATGGGTTTCTCCTTCCAACTGGTCCAGCCCCCACCCTGCCAGGGCAGTCCAGACCTCTGCTGTGGGCTTTGCCTTCCTGTCTTCCTGTGCAGATGGCTCTGAGCTTATGTTGGAGGCTGGCTTGCCATGGTGCGGGGGTGGGGGAAGAGGCCCTCCTGCCCCCTTCAGAGCGGTGGAGCTGGGTGGGGAGGAGGTGGGTGTAGTGTAGAGTGCCCTGCTCCCTGTGGGGGTCCTTGTTGTTGGCCCTCGTGACACGTGCAGAGGGTTTGGTGGGCTAAGGCACTGGCCAGAAAGGGCCCTGGCTCTGCTTCGTGCTTGCTCCGAGACCTTGGGGCAGGGACTGTGTTGCGGCGGGTGCCCATGCACAAAGGAGCCCTGAGTCTTGGCGTGTTTTAGGCCCATGATAGCATCTGGTGCCAGATGGACCCACTTCCCCTACCGCAGGCTGCCTGGGACTCAGAGGGGAGGGTCTGATGTCTATACACCACACACCCAGCCTCCTCCATCCTACCCCTCCTGGCTTGTGTGTGTGGGTGGAGATCCACAACTCCATCTGTAGGGGTCATTTCCCCTGGAGTATGCTCTTTGGTGTAGTGAATCCATAGTGGGCACATGACCACTTGCCCCAAATAGGTGCCCACAGTGTGTGCTGCTACAATGTCTGACCAGTAGGAGGTGGGGGGGGAGGAGCAGTTCTGTTTGCACCGCAGAGTTACCCCAGCCAGGCGAGCAGACAGATGGCCAGTACATTGGTGTGTTACTTGCCCCCACGCTGGAGTTATTCATCCCTTTCTGAAGCATAACTTTACTCTGACGTAAAAGGGGAGTGGGCAGATGACAGAACAAGAAGCAATGGTCTCAAGTTGCAGCAAACGAAGTTTAGGTTTGATATTAGGAAAAACTTTCTCACGGGGAGGGTAGTAAAGCACCAGAATAGGTTGCCTAGAAAGGCTATAAAATCTCCATCCTTGGAGTTTTTTAAGACAAAGGCTAAACAAAGTCTTGGCTGGGATGATAGAGTTGGGGCAGGTCCTATTTTGAGCAGGGGGTTGGACTAGGTGCCCTCCTGAGGTCTCTTTCAACCCTCATTTTCTATGATTCTGTGAGATGCGTGGCATTTACTGCACTCAGTGCAGGGATCACAGGGGCAAGGAAGCTCACTATAGTAGCTGTGGTGTGTGTAGACAAGGAGGGCACCTGTGTCTGTGCAGCAGTCTGAGCTGTGAGTGTAGTCTGCTTGGTTTTACCCAACCCAGTTCTCCCTGAGCTTCCTTGGGTACTGGGAGCCTGGGGACAAGTGCAGGCCACAGCTCCTGGCCAGGAAGCTGAGCAGTTTGTACAACAAGCTGTTTATTAAAGCTAGTTTAAAGCCAGCTCTGGTGCATCTGTGGGAGCTTCCCCTGGAGCTTCCCAGCAGCAGCACTGGGTTTCCCAGACTGCCAAAGCCAGCCTTGGATTTGGAGCGTAGGCGGGCAGTCCATGCCCAATCCCATGTCTCAGCTGCCCTGGCTCCTGCCTCACCCCCAGCGCACAGCCTTGCCCTGCCTTGTCTGTCTCCAGCCCTGCTGTGTCATTCCCCACCTCCCACACCCTTGGGAAAATGCTCAAGCATTGTATGGTCAAGAAGTTCAGTGTCACATTGGGTCACTGCCACCCCCCTGCCCCCAGCTGGCCAATGTGGCAGGCTGGCACCTGCCCTGACAGGCCTAGTCATGGAAGGCTCTTAGGACCCAGCCAGCTGGGCCCACATGGTTATGATGGGGCTGAGCCAGGGTTGAGGTGGGAAGTGGTGGTGTTGGAGACAGCAGCCATGGGGAGGCCTCCAAACTGTCCCTTTTCTGTGTCCAGCACTGCTGACCCCACCTGCCTTCTGCTGTCCCCACACAGCTGTCCGGAATGACAGGAACAAGAAGAAGAAGGACACGCCTAAGCCGGAGAGTTCGGAGAGCTATGTGGTCACGCCTGAGGTGGAGAACCTCATTGAGAAGGTGCGCAAGGCCCACCAGGATACCTTCCCCGCCCTGTGCCAGCTGGGCAAATACACTACGGTGAGTGCCTGCGCTGGGGCTGGCAGGGCAGGGCAGGGCCTGTGATGCAGGGTGTGGTGGGTGCTGGCAAAGCTGGACGTGGGCAGGAGCTGTGGGGAGGGAAGTGCATGTGGTTTATGTTGAGGTGCATTCACATGAGCTGTTGAGAAACGCAGGCCTGGGGTAGGAGGGGGTGCACTAGGCAATGCTGTGAGCTTGCAGCCTCTACCTTGGAGCATGACTGTGCCCTCCTTTCACCCTTCCCTGGAGCGTCACATGGTCCTGCCCCCTGCCAGTTTCTGACTTCAATTCTGGAAGCAAACTCAGAGCATGCAGCAGACTGCTGGCCTTCTGGGGCTAGAAAAAAGGAGAATGGGAGCCAGATCTGGCTTCTATACCCAGCTCTGCCTTCTGATTTGTTGGGGCAAGGTCTTTCCTTATCTGTGGCATGGTGCCTGCTGTGCACCATCCCCGGCTCTGGGGATTTGGTACGTGGGTCTTCCGCCTTAGGGGCACCCCATGGCCCAGGCCCTTCCTTCATGCTGGCCTGCACTTGCAGAATAACAGCTCGGATCAGCGGGTCTCACTGGACATCGACTTGTGGGACAAATTCAGTGAGCTGTCCACCAAGTGCATCATCAAGACAGTGGAGTTCGCCAAGCAGCTCCCCGGCTTCACCACGCTCACCATTGCCGACCAAATCACCCTCCTCAAAGCTGCCTGCCTAGACATCCTGGTGAGGATCAGCGGAGGGGACTTTCCAGGGCATCAGCAGAGCTGGCTGAGCAGTGCTGGGGGCAAGGGATGCAGAGACATCCATGGTGTCCATGACAGGCTGGGTTGGGCTGGTTTGGACATGTGTGAAAGGAGCTGTTCCATGCCTGGACAGTTGGAGATGGTGTCCCCAGGCAGGTGGGCTAGAGCGGTGCTGAAGGTAGTGGGAGGAGCAGCATTGCAGGGCATAGGTGAGGCGGGAGCACAGGCTGGGTATGGTAGGCATGAAGGAAGTAGCTGTGCTGTGGAGATGTGCAGGGGCCAGGCCAGGCAGTGATGTGGGGTGTGAAAAGGGCAGGCTGGGAGGGTGTGAAGGAAATAGGCTTGGAGGTGTGGGGCAGGGGGGCAAGCCAGGCTATGACGGGGTTCTGTAGAGGGGGCAGGTCCTGGCCTCAGTGGGGTAGGGGAAGCTGTGCTGGGTTGTGTGGGGAGAGGGTAGGCAGGGCTGTACTGGGGTGGACAGAGGAGGCTGGCAGGGCCATGCTGAGCCTGCGTATCTCCCACCCAAGATCCTGCGGATCTGCACGCGCTACACGCCGGAGCAGGACACCATGACCTTCTCAGATGGGCTGACCCTGAACCGCACCCAGATGCACAATGCTGGCTTCGGGCCCCTCACCGACCTGGTCTTCGCCTTTGCCAACCAGCTGCTCCCGCTGGAGATGGATGATGCTGAGACAGGGCTGCTCAGTGCCATCTGCCTCATCTGTGGAGGTGGGAGCTGGAGGGCAAGGCTTGGCCAGGGCAGGGGCCCTGATGTGTGTGCGCATTGGGGTGGGGGCAGTGGTGGTGCTTGGCAGCTTTGTTTGCAGCCCTTGTAAGTATGCTTAGGCCAGTGCACAACAACCAGAGCAGGCCCTGTCCCTGCCACTGTGTTCAGCCCGATCCTCAATAAGTCAGATCCCCCACTCCCAGGCCATGATCTAAGCAGTAAAGAGAGGGGAGATGTTTATCTCCTCAGCTTCATGCCCCTGTGCCCAGAGAAGTGACTGGGGCTTTGCATCCCAGGTCTGTTCCCAGCATTGTTCCCCCAAGGGATCATGGGCCAGGGGTGGAGGCTGGAGAGGAAAGGGGCATCTGTCTCTGGGTCTAGTCTATTCATTTCTGTCCCTTCCCCTTCCCTGGGGACTCTGCAGCCAAGGAGCCAGAGCTTTGGGACTAAGTAACCAGGTCCCTGCCCCTGCTCCTGCCACCTGTCCACAGCCCTGAGCTCTGCCTGACAGCACCCCCTGGTGGGGGACCTATGCAACAGGCGGCTGCATGGCTGGGGACAGGGGATGGGGATAGCAGGGACAGCTGCCTCCAGACCAGTGTGGCAGTAGGGGCTGCCTTTAGGGACAGAGCAGAGTGTTTTAACCCCTTCTCAGCTGCTGGGGCGGCAGCTATGTGTTGTGCACCCTGTTGGAGGGGCTTAGCTCAGAGGCTGCTGTTGCACTCACCTGATTGCTCCCCACACACCTGTGTGCAGATCGTCAGGACCTGGAGCAGCCGGACAGGGTGGACAAGCTGCAGGAGCCACTGCTGGAGGCACTCAAGGTTTATGTGAGGAAGAGGCGGCCCAGCAAGCCCCACATGTTCCCCAAGATGCTGATGAAGATCACAGACCTGCGCAGCATTAGCGCCAAGGGTGAGGGTCTTGGGGGCAGCGGAAAAGCAGGCCTGGGGCTGTCTTCCCTCCCTCCCTTTCACCCTTTCCCTCATCTGACTGTCTAGCCCACAAGGAGGCTAGGGGAGTGTCTCTGGGAAAGGCCCCTTCTTTGAATGTGTGTATACTGTATGGCTCTCAAATCCCACTGCCCTGTGCTGTGTGCAGGGGTCCTGCCTAGGGCTCTGAGGCTTCTTACCCCAGGCTGTGAGTGGGGTGTAGACTAGAGTGTCCCATGCACTGTGGGGTCTTCAGCTAGGTGGGGAAACTGGCCCCTGCCCTGCATGGAGGGCATCACACCCCAGTGCAGGTGGGAGGGTGCCCCCCAGCCTGGCTCTGCTCTAGGTGGTGTTGACCCCTCTCCCCACCCTTCTCCCTGCAGGTGCGGAGCGGGTGATCACACTGAAGATGGAGATCCCTGGCTCCATGCCGCCCCTCATCCAGGAGATGCTGGAAAACTCGGAGGGCATGGACACACTGGGTGGGCAGCCGGGTGCTTCCCGCATGGGCAGCCTGGCCCCACCCCCTGGCAGCTGCAGCCCCAGCCTGTCGCCCAGTTCCAACAGAAGCAGCCCGGCCACCCACTCGCCCTGATGCTGGGGCTGATGCTGGGACCAGGACGCCACCAGTGCTCTCTGCCCCCAGGACAGACGGATGGACGGACAGACACGCAGCCCTCGGAAACCGCTGGGCGAGCAGTGTTCCCCCTCCTGCTGTGCCGTGGGGCCCTGGCCCCAGCTCCTTTCTGTCTGTACCAGCACACACAATGTCCATGGCTTCAAGCAACCCTGGGCTCCGGGGTTCTGTGCCTGACTTGGGATGAACTCCGCAGCAGAGTCTGAACTGCATAACTCGGGCCGGCCCTCACAGACCAGCTCCCGCCTCTGTGAAGGCGGGGAGGGGAGCAGCAGGGGGTTCTGCTCTCGCTCTCTCCGTGGGGGAAGTGGGACACTCGCTCTGAGCAGTGTCCGTCGATACAGGACTGAAGTTCACCAGGATGGAGCAGAAACACCTGTAAACTGTTCAACAGCAACCGTTGCAGCCAGCCAGCACCCCCTCCTCAGGCCAGCGCTCCATTCCCCCCTTCCCCACCGCTCACGCTCACTCGCACCCTCTCCCACCCCTCACAGCACCCTGATCCTCAGTTGGGGAGGGAAACCGTGTGCCCTCCTGGCCCTGCCTTGGTGGTGATGGTGGTGGGGACACTGCACCGACGTGAAGATGAAGTGTTTTTTTTTTTTTTTTTTTTTTTTGGTATTTTTTTGGTGGTGTTACATTTCAGATGTTTTGGGGGTGGGGGAGGGGCAGGGAGGGCATTTTGGGGGGTCATTTTCGTTTCTGTTCTTTTTTCTTTTTTTAAATTTTCATAACGATCAAAAAAAAAAAATCCTTTTTGTCCTCGTCAGCTGATTGT